GCGGAGGTGAGAAGAACTAGTATCAGACGAATGAAAGATAAGGATGTGATACGGAAAAAAAATTTAAGAAAGAACGACCAAAAAAAAAAAAAAAGAAAGAAAAACAGAAGGAGAAGGAGAAGGAAAAAAGAAGAGAAAAAAAAAAAAAAAAAAACAGAAGAAGAATTACATCAGTTGTCTATTACATTCATGTATCCATTCATTCAATCAAAATGTTGATATGCTGTAAGCTAGCCTTTGTTAGTAAAAGGTTTTAGAAGCAAACAACCGTATAATGTCTACTATAAGAGCAAGATTATCAGTAATTTTAACAAATGGCAATTAAATGTCTTCTAGGATCTAAAATTTCATTTTTCACTAGGCAGCGAAAGGGGAATATTATAATAACAACGATTATTAAAAACATTAATAATAATTCAACTCAATTGACAATAAATACTAACTAAAAGCTTAGCGGCATACGTGGAAGGAAAAAGTAAAAGTAAGTAAAAGCAATTAAGGTATTATATATTTTTGTCAAAGCCTTGAGTGGGTACCAGGTGCAGTCCTGGGAAGTAAAGGCGGCCGGTGTGATGCTGACCACATCACCAATCCTGTGCCGATTGGTCTATAAAATATTGGTCTAGCCCTATATGCCCTAAACGCCTTAAAGCGTGGAAAAGGGTTCTGCACTTTTTTCCTAAATTTTGGTCAAAGTGATTCATTTGTATGCTTCATTGCACGTTGACATAATTCAGTAGCATGCACCCAACGAGGTACAGAGAGAGACATACGCAAGGAATAACTTTGTTATTTAAATTCACAACGGCAAACTATTGTCTTAAATAATAATAAAATAGCCGGCAAGGGAGGAGGAGAAGCAGAGGAGGAGGAGAAGAAGCAGGGGAGGAGGAGGAGGAGAAGAAGAAGAAGAAGAAGAAGAAGAAGAAGAAGAAGAAGAAGAAGAAGAAGAAGAAGAAGAAGAAGAAGAAGAAGAAGAAGAAGAATCTACGTTAATAATAGAAAGCCAAAAGTATTATCATTAAATTTGGCCTACCTTTCTGTTTTATCTCACCAAGCCACTCTCCACCTACCTATACTGCTATATTCAAGGTCCGACAATTAAGTAATGAGACTAATTCCATAAAAATTAAAATAATCAACAGTTGAAGATATAACCTGTATTATATTCAAAGTAAGCCTCTTGTGCATTGATACATCGAGTGGCACGATCTAACAAACACTGGAACGACCATTGTAGTTCTGTTATCGTTATGGTCCCTAAAGTCGATGTTCCAGTCCTTTGGAAGCGTCCTTTCAATAGTAACTTTAATTTTGGGAATATAAAATAGTCACAGGGAGACAAATTTGGGGAATAGGGTAGATGGTTGAAAACACGTATTTTTTTGTTTGTTGTTGTTGCAAAAAATGCACACACAACTACCGTCCTTTGAGTTGGTGCATTGTCATGAACAAAGAAACAAATTGCCAGGTACTGAATACAAACCGACCAGCAACTTGTTTCTTGTCCAAATCATGCACTAAAATTTTACGAATAGTCTCTGTAATAACACCAAATTCATCTACCACCATTCTCACAGTCAAGCAACGATCTTTTTGTACCCGTTCTCGGAATTTTGCAATGAGTTCCTCATTACGAACATAACTCTGGCGTCCAGGTCTAGTTGCATTAGTAATATTTCCACACCACTTTTGAATCATGAATACCAGCTGACAATCTTTGCACGAGATAAACAGTTATCCTCATAAACTTGTCGCATCAATTTAACTGTCGCAATGGCGTTTTTCCTGAGTTTTAAACATAATTCAATGTTAGCCTTTTTGCTCCATGCTGATTACGTAACAATGCACCTCTGACAAGGTTAACAAAACTGTGTCTTGTTGATTGTCTGCTTATCAGGCGACGATGAAATGTTGCAAGATCAGAGACGAAGGTTGCCTCTTTGGATTCCATGCTTTGATTCTTAGATGGCATTTTTGTCCTAGTCATAATAAAATCAGTCTCATTACTTAATTGTCAGATCTTGTATATACAGTTCCCGCTCGTCTCTCTCTCTCCAATTCATACTTTCCAGCCAAAATCACCTATGTACACTCACACAATCCCCCATCTCATTCAACAAACACTGTGTGGGCTGGAGAAATCTATCCGCGGTGTCTCGACCTGACCCGACACCGGTGACTAGTAATGAGATGAACGAACTGGGAGCTAAGAAGGCGTTTTGCTGTTTCCACAGTTCACGTGTGTTCTAGAAGATTCACACACTCAAAATAACACATTCCCCGATCACAGGCCAGCAGATTCTTCAAAAACAAGTTTTACGAATCAGTAGAACACTAAGCGATATTATAAAGTATACGACAAACACATTTGTGCCTAGGTAAGTTTGCGACAGACGTAATTTTTGTGTGAAATTTGTGATCTTTTGTCAGTTTCTTCCCGTTCGGGGTAAGCATGGTGGACGAACGAATAATTTCATTGAATAATTAAGATATTTAGGTTTTAAATACTTTAATATCCTGCTGCGAAGTTTATAATTATTGATTAGAAAGTAATGATGCAATGGAATATGACGACTGGGAAAGTGATAATAAAGATGACGAAACGGTTATATGAATAATTATATTTTAATTTGCGTTTGGAAAATGGCTGATCAGTGATTCTTGTCTGACCGGCGAAACTATAGTGTACGGACATAACGTTGAATTAATGCTTGATTCGACAGGATAAGTTGAAAACAGTTAAATTACGTTACTGTGAAGAAGAAAAAAAAACTAGGTGTAAGAAAGATATAAATCAGACTTCAGAAAAGTAGATCTGGAAAGAAAACCTTGTCACTGCTTTTTAGCAGACTACAAATAACGGAAACGTAGTTTACTAGACTAGTAGTTAGTATATAAGTATAACTTTATAACAGAAATAATAAATGATGGTGGTGGTGGACGTAACATAACAAGATAGCCTAACGGGAATACTTTGCGGTGTTTGTTGTTGTGAGAATACTAAGTATAATATGGTCTCAGAGAACATAACAGGAATACTTACTATTATACTGTGAGGTGATGGCGGGTGTGATAGGAATGCTAGAATAGTAGAATGTGAGTTTTGCAAACCTCCATTCATTCCCCTGACATGGGACTGAAGAACTGGCACTCTTGAGAATATCTTTAGAATACCGGTCCCAAATTATTTACTGCTGAAAACATCCCTTTGAGAGCCTCAATAGGTTATGTAGTAAAAACATTTAGGCCATACCAGTTTCCACTTTTGCTGTTATTGCTCGGTGAATAGCAATGCTTAGATGTCATTAAGCTAAGTGTCGTGGGAAGGAATATTTTTCGATCCATTGAAGCTGCATGGGGAGGAATATATTTTGATCCATTGTTTAAGCGCCATGGGGAGGTGTATTTGTCGATCCATTGTGCTGCGTGGGGAGGAATAGTTTTTGATCCATTGTTTAAATTACCCATTACTCGCCTTGTGGGTTTTAGGGTGACATGTTGCAGGAAAAAAAAAACAAGAATAAATCTACTGCCACCTAAAAAGCATGTTGTAAAAAGCAACTAAAATCAGATGTGTTGGGATGAGAGGCACACATATCACAGCCCAGCTGTAAAACACAACACAGCGTCCCAACTGCCCTTTCAAGAGGAACGAAAAGAAAGAAGATTATCTACCCATGACATGACCATTGAGCATCTCACCGCCGCTATCGCAGCCTTGCTGTAAACCACATGACAGCAAGAGGTGCAGATATCGCAGCCTAGATGTAAACCACAACAGAACCGTCCTAGCCGCCCTTTTAAGGACTACAAAAACTATTACACCGAAGGGAATCGAACACCAGTCGCCCGCTTGACAAGCGGAATACTTACAACTGTACTACAGGAGACTCGAGAGTTTGGTTCACATGAACTTATATAATAACATGAAGCATAGTTTGTAGTGTTCCTATTCCAGATTTTCAAGTAGATGACCTCTTGAGGCTCTGAATGGGTTTTTTTTTTAACAGTGGCTAAATTGGAACCGGTATTCGGGAGAGTGCCGAAAAACCTTCTCCATGGGAGACTGTCGCACAACTGTCATAAAGCCTAGAAAGCAGTGAGGTTTGCAAGAATTTCACATCTACCAAGAGTTTTTCACTGTTCAGCTATCCTCGAATAGTGGTCCCAAATTATCGAGGCCAAAAATATACCCTAACAGGGCCTCAGTCACGTGTCAATTGTGAACTTCCGGGGACTATACCGCGTAGTATTCCCCACGCTGCATGAGTGGCATGGATTGGGGCTAAACTAGATGGCTGGGACTCACGAGCAGCAGCTACCCCATCTCCTGCAGCTTCCTTCATTTTGCTCGTGCGTCCCAGCCAGCTAGTTTAGCCCCAATCCATGCCGCTCGTGGGGAAAACTATCGGGGGTGGCGGTATAGTCCCCGGAAGTTTGCAATTGACACGTGGCTGAGGCCCTGTTAGGGTATTTTTTTCTGCCTCTGTGATTTGGGACCGTTATTCGGAGGATAGCCCACTGTTCATAATATTTCTTTATGGATTAGGGTTACTGCATAGGGAATTGCGCTGAGTTGTAAATAGTTACTTTGTAATAAAATTGACCGTCTGTAAGCTCCAGGTGGACAGTCATTATTTTACAGCTGTGTCTGGACTGTGGTCTTGCTCCAGGGCTTGAGTTTTGCATGCACATCTGTTCTACAAATGTGGCTTATTTCTGTTCAGGCTGTTGGTTCATGCTTCTCAGTCATTTGCACTCTGACTTGATTGAAAGGAAATGTTGATCCTGTCTACATTGGCCAGGCATCCGGATATGAACCTGTTTCTGAGATGACCACAGAGATGTAGATAGATCTTGTTGGTACTTAACTTTAAATTTCACGCTCTGTATATAATTAACTTGTATAGTTTGTCTTACAGTTAAACTTTTTTTTGCAGCTAATGCAGTTGTTTTTGTTTTTTAAATTCTAGTAAGAGAAATCAAGATTGATCAACATGGCAGTTGTGGGCATAGACTTGGGTACTTTTTCCAGCTACATTGCTGCTGCCAGATCAGGAGGCATTGAGACAATTGCGAATGAATATAGTGATCGACTGACTCCGTAAGTATTGACAAGTGGTTAACCTTTAAGTTGTTTACTTTATGCTTTAAAGTCTGGTGGTTGGTTTTCTCACTTGATTTGTGAGTACAGGTGCTGCAGATATCTATAGGGGTGGTAACTGGAGTTATGAATGTGTTTTGTGAGCTGCTGCTGAAGGCTGTCCAGCTATGGGTTGTATTCAGAAATCTGATGCCACTCGGACATTTGTTGTTTAAAATTGTGTATTACTTTCGTATCGTAATGTTTTGCCATTCTGTTTTTTTCTCTTACACATCTGAGTCTGTACATTGATATATTGGGTTTGTTTTATTGATTTTTCCATGTGGGTTCCGGGGCCCCATTGTGGGGAAAATGAGAATAGACCCACTTTCTACCCAACAAGCATGTCATAAGAGTAGACTAATTGGGGAGCTTTAAAGTTGGATTGCATCTACCGGAGACACAGGAAACCAACAGTCTGCACACAGATATGTCAGATCTGTAAAATGGATGTGCACAAAATACTTGGGCTCTAGGAAAAAAACTAAAGTTTAGAAGTGGGCGAACAACTAGAGCTTTCCACCAAAGTTTACGTGAAGAAAAAAGAAGTTTTATTGATAAGACTATTAAAAAAAAAATCTTGTTAACACAATTCAGGTGCATAATACTAGCTGCCTTTGATTTTGCTAGGTATTATGTCAGTGCATAATACTAGCTTGATTTTGGCGGTATATTTTGTGTACTGTTATGCCTTCTTACTCTGACCATCGATCAGTGTAACCCTAGCTAGTTGTTAGTTGCGTTTCCTTGACAGGACGTTACAGAACCAACCCCAGCATTTTTTGGCTGTTGTGGTTTTCCTATTCAAGTTTACGTCCAGTAGTTTGCCATTGCTTTCTGGATGATCAGCTTCTCAATACCACTGTCAAAACCTATGCAAGCTGGGATCGAACCCGGCACCCCGACATTACAAAGCGCGTTCGTAACGCCAAAGCCACAGATGCCTAGCTAGTACCAAAGTGAAGAAGAAATAAAATTAAAAGCAGTTGGCGTTGGCTTTCTTAACAAGACCCACATTTACTATGCAGGAAGGAGGGGCGGGGGATTGGTTAGTCGAATGGGATTAGACCTTTGGATACAGACTTACTAAGGGGCTTCGAGATTTCATGAGGAATTCCAAGAAAAGTCCAATAATATAGTGTTGTTGGGGTTTGAAATTAACATTCACTACGACTACCCCCACCCACCTCAATATTGGGCTTTTGCTGGAATTTCCCATGAAATCTCAGAGGCCCTGGAATGGGGTGGAAGAAAAAAAAACACCTAAACACCCTTGATAACATATACAGTTTAAAGTATAAAAGGAGGCTGATTTTATGATGGCCACAACAAAAATGCTATCCGTGAAGCAAAGCATGCCTTTCAGGCTCGCGCCATTCATCTATGGTCAAGCAAAATTCTCATGCTGTCCAGTCGGCAAATAACCTACAGTTTTGTTTAGCTAATGAAAGTGACATTATTATGGATACAGCAGAAGATGAGCACAGGATATAAGTGACTGCTTGAATATGAAAGTACACGAGGCGGGAGAGCTTGCGGGAGACTTGAGTTTCTTTCAAGCAGGCCATGATCTGAGCGACGTTCTGCAAAGGACCTGCAACATGATGATGATGGATACTGCAGGAAGCCAAGGATGATCAATGCGTTTCACACTCAGAAAAGTGTTCTTGCGGCGATTGAATTGATAAGTATATAAGGATCAATGTTTATCAAATTGAGCATCATATTTATCTGCTGTCGTCCCCATTTAGAAATTGTTTCACGTATCTGTCTCCGACTTTGACAGTGTATCATTACGCACAGAAATTGGACATTCTGGCCCAGCTTTATCTTTGGTCTTTACCACACCAGTTCTGAATTGTGAATACCACTTCATGCGAATTATAAATGTTGCCATCTTCTCTTCGACTTACAACCTATGCGACTTAATGCCCATTCGCACTTATGATCACAAACAAATAAATGAATAAAAATGGTAAATAAAGATAGATAACTCCTAGGGTCAAAAGGTTCTAGAAAATTCTGCAGTAGAGTACATATTGTGTTTCACATTATGTACAGTAGTATGTAGATAGATTTAATGTTTGTATTTTATTGTCAGTTTTTAATAATCTGTTCCAATGAAAATAGTGTTGAAAAAAAAATACGACTTGCCACCCGTTAGTCAGAACAGAACTCGGTCGTAATAAGTCTAGGAAATGATGAATTTCTTTTTATGATCTGCTAAATTTATGATTTTTCTGTTCTCTGGCAGATCATATGTATCATTTGGAGAAAACAATCGAGTGGTGGGTATGGCTGCAAAACAGCAAGCAGTTACAAATTACAGAAACACAGTTTGTGGGTTCACCCGAGTGTTGGGGCGCAAACTCAGTGACCCGCTGGTACAGAAAGAGCTTTTCCAGAGTTTCAAGCCAAACAGTGTTGTTAAAGATAGCCATGGCAATGTGCTTTTTCAGGTAAGTGCTAGTAGTGTTGTTAATAGTAATCTTTAGCTTCTTAACGTGGATTCTGAGATCCCATTTTGAGGGGGGGGGGGCAGGCCCACTGTTTCTTTAACAAGTATGCCGTAAAACTAATTATGGGTGTTTCCTTCTAAGTCGATGTGTATCTGCCTGAGAGGTGGGAAACCAGCAGTCTGCATATACAAAAGCCAGATGGATGTGCACATAAACTTATGTTCTGAAATTTAACTTCCACAAAATTTAAAATCGGCGAATCAGCCATGTGCACATGTGGACTGGCACCTGAGACAAAGATCATGTCCTCCAAGACTGTCCCAAAATACAACATATCAAGGCAAAACTTTTGGCCAAGAGAAACATCAGTGCGCGTCAAGTTTTGCATAAGGTGAGTGAATTACAAAAGACGGTGGAGTTCACACTAGAGACAGCATTGCAGATATAGATAATCTATTTCAAGCGAACAAAAGGAGGAGAATAAGAATGTTCTGGGACAATACTAAACTCCAGAAGTGGAACAACAAGAAATGTTCACTGGAGTTTACAGCTGGTGAACACGCGCGCACACTCAAAGACAATAATCTTTTGCATAGAATTCTTCAAATTCTGGCATGGCTTATAACTAACTTGAATAGTTTTGACTTTATGATACCATTTTTGTAAATATCTGTGCTCGTGTAACCAACAGTTTGGGGAGGGAGAAAGAAGAGCCCCACTGCCCTCTACAAAGCATGCAATAGAAGCATAGAGTATTTAGAAGTTTGCTTCCTCTTGTGGTTTCTCTGTTCACCAGTTTCCATATGGGGTTACAACCGACAGCTAATTGCATACCAAGTCGTGGAAGTTAAAATGGTGACTTTTTCTGGTGGTCTCTCAGTTTTACACCAACAGACAAGTTATTCTAACTAAATTGACCAATTTTTTTTCCTTTGTTTGAAAAAATTTTGAGTGTGGTCTCGGCTCATTGGCCTATTATTCCCTTCTTGATGAGCTGTACAAGCGACAGACTTGCAGGACATGTTCTGTGGTTTGCCTACATGGGTTCTGTGGGCTACTCAGACGAAGCCTGTGCATATACTTATGAAGTTCTTTTAAATGCCGTTCTGGGGCGTAGAATGATGACCTGTCCATGCCAGTCAATTGAGTGGTGGTCACCTATGGCCGGATTCTGTTCACTTGTGATAGACTAGATGGCTCACGTTTTCCTCAGTGCATGTTATTGCATTGTCTTCCTGTTCACATTAAAAATGATGACAGGTTTCTGGATGTTGCAATGGCGGTGGAAAATCGGGAAGGGAATAAGGAAAAAAGGATTGCAGATAGGTTGAGAATTGAGAAAAGCAAATAAGACCATTGAATATGTGCTTTGGCAACAGTGACCCAGAAAACCCTTGCTGTATTTGTGGAAGACTGTTCTTAACACTGACATGTCTTGCTAGTCACACTAGCATCATCATGCTGTGTGATTCTCATGCTTGCTTGTAGCCCTATATTTAACCATTGTCTGGAAAGATGGGCAGCATAGAATCAACTGGCTTACATCTGTTGGTGCTTGGGACTCAGTAACCACAGTACCCCATTTATGAACTTAAAATTTCTATAAATAAAGCTATTAAAAAAATTAACATTGATGTTATGCAATTAATTCTGCTAGCTAGACATCTCGTAAACATGTTCGTAATGCAATTTGAGATAGCAGCTATTACGGGTAAATTGTACCGTCCGGAAGCGTGGGTTTTGTTGCTTCTCGGGGCGAAAAGGTTAATAATAACAATACTAATGTTTTTATTTTTTTATTGACTTTTCAGCTGTCCTATCTGGGAGAGACGCATGAGATTTTTGTTTCATCGAACCCGGCATCCCAGCATTACGAAGCGTTCGCATCGACTTAGCCACAGAGCCGACGATGTGAGATATACTGGACTAAAATCAGCCAACCAGCAGTAGTGGTGATCACTTGTGACTGGTGTATATGTCAACAGCGACTCAAGGATAAAGATATAATATAGATAGTCCTAAAGTAGTTACTACAGTTGGGTTGTATAACTATCCATAAAATATCACAATCTTGATTGCAGGTTCCAGTATTCTTCACTGACAGAGAGAGACGTGCTCTTCTGGACGCTTGCCAGCTGGCCGGACTCAACTGTTTGAGAATTTTAAATGACACCACCGCAGGTAGGGCAGACTGTTTCTCCCTTTCTTCTTCCTCGTTTGTCCAATATCTTTTTGTTAAAGCCTTTTCTGTGTGGGTTCCTGGGTCCATTGTGGGTCCCCCCAACAAGCATGTCATGAAAGATGACTATCGTATTTCTCTGTATGGAAGACAGACTGTATATTATTATTTTTTTTAGCCCAACATTAAACAATTATTGTGAACATAGTGCATGGATAAGACAGACCCCAATTTAAACTTATACAAAATAAACATTATATTCCAAATAGTATATTTTGTCTATGTCTTTTCTTTTGCCGCTGCTCTTGCCTGCCGTATATTTTGACTGTCTTCTGTAGAAGTTGCTCTTGTCTGAGCGATATTTTGTTAGTATTTTCTATTGCTGTTGCTTTTATCTATGGTATATTTTATATGTTGTAACTTCTGTTGCAGTTGCTCTTGCCTATGGTATTTACAAGACTGATCTTCCAGCTGAATCGGAAAAGCCTCGAAATGTTGTCTTTGTAGACTTCGGCTACTCTGCAATTCGAGTGGCAGCTTGTGCTTTTAACAAGGGAAAGCTGAAGGTGAGTTCCTGAAGCTGAATTTACTTTTAACAAACAATAGACATTTGCAAGTTTGAACCAGAAGTGTTCATAAAGGAATAGCCTTATTTAACTCTTTCATCCCAGATACCTAGGATACCTGTATTATGTCTTTTTCAATTTTTGTAAACAAAAAAACTAAAAAAAAAAAAAAACAATTTTACAAGTCGGAGGAAATCAGCACAAATTTGCTGTGTCACCTAAGACACGAACAAATACTGTTCGGAGTAATCAGTATAAATGAATGTAGTGAAGAATCTCTTGACGCCTGTAAACTAATTATAGCGTGACACTTCAGCCTTGTAACCGGATCAACTGGTAACCAGTCTAGCCATGGGGAAAAAATGAGGTAGGAATTTATATAAATAAATCTGTTTTTGTTTAGCTCCCTAAATGTTATCTTAGTTTGATCATCGCCTACTACACATGATGTTTGCGCAGATGCCTCAGATTCTGTTTGCCGGACATCTCGTAAGCATGTCTGTATAGTAAGTCTTATGGGGAAATGGTGCCAACTCGGGGTGTCGGTTTTGTGGCTTCTCGAGCAGAAATTTTAGATTTTTTAAACTTTCTCTTGCAAGCAATAGATGTAGTCTAGTTCTGAGCTTATTGAACAAGAGGTATAGCTTTAAGTTCAGATTGAAGTATTTATCCACCATAAAAATGGATGAAAACAAAGACACAAAATATTCAAATGTTGAAAGAAGCAGTGTAAAAGAATAGGAAAGGATGTAGAAAAATGAAACAGGAACATTAAAAGAAGCAGTTATATTTTGCCTTCCTTAGGAACAAGACTGTTGAACCATGCCCACCACCCAAAGGGGGAATTAAGGCCTGTCATCCTGGGGTTGTTTTATCTAATCATGAAACATTTGTTCTTTGCCATGCCGGTGAAGTGCAAACTGCAGGAGAGTTTTGGGGGATTTCAGGGACTGTTTTTTACCCTCTGTCCATAGTTAGCGTGGTCTGCCTCGCGATTTCCATTTGTCCCGAGGATTAAATTATATAATGGTAGCAGGAAAGAAGGGCAGGGGCCGACAAGCATGTAGGGTGGCACAAATACATTGGTAAGTGACACCTAGGGTAGGAGTGTGCAGGAGAACTTTTAGAGAACGAGTTTCTTTCAGGCAGACTGACGAGTAACATTTTGTAAAGAATGTGCTACATGGTAATGAACAATACTGCAGCTTGATCCGCTGGCTTTGTACGTTTTTGTAGTGTGATACGTTTTCTTAACTGTTTCACATGCTTTTGAGGTTGGTATTTTTTTTTTAAAATAGTTGTTTAATTACGCCTTCAACAGGTGTTGGCCACATCGTTTGACAGCCAACTTGGTGGGCGAGAGTTTGATGAGCTGTTAGCAGACTATATGGCAGAGGAGTTCAAGAAGAAGTATAAAGTGGACGCCGCATCAAATCCCAAGGCGTATACCCGTCTCCTGCAGGAGTGTGAGCGGCTGAAGAAGCTGATGAGTGCCAACATCCAACCCATTCCTCTCAACATTGAATGCTTCATGGATGATAAGGATGTGCATGGAGCTGTAGACAGGTCAGTATCAGTCTTAACAACCCTCGTCCTGAGAAAGTAGTTTATCTGTCTATTAAGGATTTTGATTGACATGGATGTCTTTGTTAGGTGCCCGGTATGCCTGTATGATGGCTTTGGTACTGGCAGCAACTGCATGGTTCGTAAATGGTAGGCAATTTTTTTTTGATGTATTATTTGAAGTGAAAAACATAGATTAACAAAACTTGTGAATTCACCATGGGTCATTATTATTTCACATATGCTTTTCTTTTCCTTTTTTTTTTTTTTCTCCTCCTCCTCCTCTAGAGTTCCTATGGGATTACTTTAGAATAGGGCACACATTTGACACTTACTGTGTTTCATATTTTCAGGGCACAGTTTGAAGAAATGGCCGCTCCACTGCTGAAACGGATCCATGATACATTGCTGGCAGTTCTAGACAATGCAAGTAAGTGCGCACCTGTTTGTTCACTTTAAAAAAAAAAATGCTGTGTACCAGTTGAAGTGGCTTGAAAATGACCCCAATTCTGCCAGATTCCATGACAAGTGGCTTGAAACATCATAACTCTCTGATGTGTTCCTGAAAAGTGGTAGAGAGACTTGGGTGCCCTGGTGACCATTATAGCTGTGTCAGCTGTAGCACAGCTGTTAGCAGTGTAGATGCAGGCAGATAGGGGTGAGTCAAAGGATAGGGAAAACAAAAAGGCTGTGTAAACTACGGGCTACAGGTTTGATAATTCAAGTGCGAAGCAGCTCGCTTCTTCGTGATGTGACAGGTCCAGATTACATAAAATATGTGGCTTTGGTTATTCTTTTCTGTGTTAGCATCCGCCGGATGTAAACTCCAGCAGAAAGTTCTTGATTGCCCACTTATTAACTTTTAGTTTTATTCTAGGGCGAGTTTTGCATGCACATCTGTTTTGCAGGCTGATGCTCTTTGAGGGAAACGGACCACAGTGATGGAGACAACAGAGATGTAGTTAGAGAAGATGTGTCAGCCGCCAAGAAGAGTAGTGCCATCTAAGCTGGTTAGGGCCCTGGTTAGGAACCTGATTCTATGATCAATATGGGTTGAGTGTTGGGCTAAGAACTGACACAGCACTTGTGGTATTCCAATAAGCTCATGTTCACCAACCCGCGAAGAGTTCCAGTTCTGTTGGTGCAAGTATTCCATCTTGTCTTCGCTCTGAGTGTAGAGCAGCTGCTCTCAACCTATGGGTCAAATGACCCATTTCACAGGGGTCACCTAAGACCATCAGAAAACACACATTCATTGAAGTTATGAAGGAAAATAATTGTTTGGGGGGGTCGCCACAACATGGGGGTAAGGTATTAAAGGGTCACAGCATTAGAAAGGTTGAGAGTCAGTAGTGTAGAGTGTTGACCAGATCCCTTTGTCTAGCGGGGCCGTTCTCTCTGGCCATACCGATCTGTTTGTGCCTTTGCATTGTTCACTTACTCTTAGAAGGCCTTGACTACATCGTCTTAACTTGTCATGCATAAATTCACTGTGATAAAATACAGGCAGGTCTGGACCAAAATGAGCTATGATCATAGTGCACCACCATGGGTGGCTCAGTACCTCTGCGTCCAGGCTGTTGTTCCATTTTACTATTTTTCTTTACTAATTTAAATGAATCTGGTTGTTCATATGTGATGACAATTTTAGTTATAAGTTGTTCTGAAGCAGTAAGCTTTAAATGCCGGTTACGACCCACCCTTTTTTAGGTACTGTAGAGCCGTTACAACACAGCGAGTAGACGCTCATAGATTGTGGTCCTGGCAGAGCCTGACTTTTTTGGGGGGTCCACTCAGCCTTAAATGGATACCTGGTAAAGTCCTGGGAAGTAAAAGCGGCTGGTGTGATGTTGACCACATCACCAACCTAGTGCCGATTGGTCTTTAAAATACAGTCCTAGCACTCGATGCACATCACTCCTAAAGCCGCGAGAAAGGGTTGTTTACTTTTTACTTTATTTGGTACCAGGGTACATTTGAGAAATGGTTATTACATTTGTAGATTAGTAGAAAGTAAGTAATACACTTTTTTTTATGCCAAATGGCACATCAGGCATGTGATGCTAGGCTGTATTTGAATTGACCATTTGTGACTGTTGTAGATGTGGTCAACTTCACGCTGGCCACCGTGACTTCCAGTTGACCTTACCTGGTATCTTTTCTTCAGGGTCACTGGCTGCGAACTCCAGTGGAAAGTTCTGGTTGTTCATGTTTAGGGGATTGGTGAATGCACAGGAGGAGGAGAAAAATGTAGATGCTGTAGTAGCGCACTGGTTGGAAGGGGGGGGGGGGGGGGGGGGGGGGGGGGGGGGGGGGGGGGGGGGGGGGGGGGGGGGGTAGACTTAACTGACCCCTAACAAGTATGTAGTAAAGAGTCGACTAATTTGGTGGTGGTTTTTAAAGTTGGAATGAATCTACCTGAGAGGCAAGAAACCAGTTGTCCCTGCATAAAAATAAGCCAGATCTGTAAATCTGACTCAAGCTGGGGTGCAAGGCCAAAGTCCAGACGTGAACAACAAAAATCAGAACATCAGCCAGAGTTTTTAGCTGATGAACGAAAAGAAGAAGAAGATTGGTTGTACACATGCCATACTTTTGTCATGCATTCTATCTTGCCACATCCACACTTAATTCCAGTTTCATATATCCATACGCTTATTTCCTCTGGATGTCCACTGATGTTGGTTTTCATTTTGGAAACAGCAATTATTTGATTAAATGGATTGGTCGGATTTGGTAACCAGCTAATTTTATTGGAATGTTTTTTCTTTCTCTTTGTCACTGTAGAACTCAAGGTGTCTGACATTAGCTCAGTGGAGATTGTTGGGGGCTCGTCCCGTGTGCCGGCATTCAAGGCCCTGGTGCAGCTGGTGTTCAATAAGGAGCCTAGTACCACTCTGAATGCTGATGAGGCAGTGGCACGTGGATGTGCCCTGCAGGTAAGAATAGATGAACACTTCTGTTTATTTCTGCACCTCCCTGCCGGGGGGGGGGGGGGGGGGGGGAATTGGATGTGTTGGTGCAGGTATTGCAGCCTAGCAGTAAATCACAGTGCAATGTTTCTTTTAAGACAAATGCGAAACGGCACACTGTTCTGACATTCTTTTTGGGGAAGGGGGGGGGGGGGGTCCTCTCTTCATCTACTGGGACCCCAAAACCCACACTGGCCCTTGCAACTGTTGATACCTCTGCAGGTATTGCAGCCTAGCAGTAAATCACAGTGCAATGTTTCTTTTAAGACAAATGCGAAACGGCACACTGTTCTGACATTCTTTTTGGGGGGGGGGGGGGGGGGGGGGTCCTCTCCTCATCTACTGGGACCCCAAAACCCACACTGGCCCTTGCAACTGTTGATACCTCTGCATAACATGGCAGTCACCTCCAGTTTTTTTTCAGTACTGTAGATCAAGGTAGAAGATTGGGAAAAGGGGGGGGGGGGGTGTGTGTTATTTTATTTGCTTTTAAAGATGGTGGTTGCCACACATTATTTTGTGGTTTACAGCTATGCTATATGTGTACCTTTTGACTGAACAAGTCTGATTTTGGCAGACCCCTAATTAGTTGCCTGTTAAGAAATAAGTCTTGTAGCCCACATGGGGAGAATCTTAGGTATGTTTACAAATGAAAAGTACCCCATATGGGGGGGGAGGGGGGGGGGACTGGTTGAGCCCCTAATAATTTATGCCCCTGCTCCCCAACCCTTCCCCTCAAAAATACAATTTGCAGAATCTGAAGTTGCTCCATCTACCACGTATAGACTTTCATATTATTTCAAATATAATATTTTTTGTCAGACAGCAAATTGTTGTTATTGAAAGTATTAATATACTATTTTTATTATTGTTACACTGACTGTGCACTTGAAGAAGACTGACATCATAATCCTTGAGCCAATTCCAACTGAACTATAATTTTTGCCTCCAATCTTCCTTTTTATCATTTTGAGCCTGAGCCTCATTTGTTGCAGCGTTCATTCATCTCTATTTCCCTTCTCTTTCCAGTTTCTAACTCCATGTGTTTGGGTCTGTCTGTATATCTCCACTTTTTTGGTCCGCCACTTGTTCTACTATGATTATGCTCTTTTGTGTATGCAGTTTCTGCCGGACGTGTCATTTACCATTTTCTCTGTACTTCCAACCATTAGCCCTCATGATGCCAGTAGTTGTAATTTCAACAAATTATGAAAAACCTTGTTGCTTCTCTCTTTAGTATTTGCATCTTTAATTTGTGACTCCAATGATTATGTAAAATTGTTTTTAGCTTGTGACATTCATTGTAAATGTTTTGACATTTAACTGCATTTTGTTTTTGCTATTGTGCAGTGTGCCATCTTGTCGCCCACATTTAGAGTCCGCGACTTCAGCATCACTGACTGCCAGCCATATCCCATCACTCTTGTCTGGCAGCCTCAGGGTCAGATGGATGAAGACAGGTAATGACCATTTTCTTTATCATCGTCTTCTGTATCTTTTCCCTCCACTGCAACCTTGGCCATTTTCTGTCACTTTCTTCTGGCATTTAGTCAGTTAAATTAAGGTAATTCCCTATGAAGCTTCTGGGGGCCTTGTTTTAGAGTAAAGAAATAATAGACCCACTGTCCCCAATTGGGCATGTGGTATAAGGCTGCTAAATAAGGATCTGCTGAAATGGGATGCATTGGTCCAAAAAAGCTGATGTCTTGCTGTAAACGACTAACATGACTGTCAATGTTCTAGAAGAAAAGAAACGCTCGACAGCGTTGAACCTGCTTTTGGTAGCCGAAGTTGCCAACAGTCTCTAGTTTATTTGTGGCAACTTCCGTGGCTAAGATTGGGGTATATGCGCCAGCTTTCTGAGTTAGTTGAGGGTCTGTGCTCCACTGGGGTTTAGCGAGGCAGAAAAGAAAGACAACATGCTTGTTAAGAGGTTAGTGGATCTATTCTCCCCCCCCCCCCCCCCCCCCCCCCCCCCCCCCCAGACCCCCCTTTTTCACTTCTTTCACCTCTGTGACAAAGTCACAAGACAAAGGAGGTGACGATGTCAGGGAGATCATGAGGGGAAGTGGACAGAGAATAACCAAGCAGTTTGAGATGGTGACCCCAAAACGTGGTCTTCGACTGATGGCATACACAGATTCCAGCCATGGATCCTTGAATCGCTTCCACCATTGTTGTAGCCGGTAGTCTACTGGCCCTGACTTTTTGGAAGTTACTCTGGAGATCTCAAATTGTTACTCTGGAGATCTCAAATTGACAATGACACATCTCAGTTATGTATCGCCCGGCTCTCTAGCGTAGTTGGCTAAACCGGATTGCGTGGAGACTGGGTGACGAACTCCTTGTGGTCCGGGTTCAATCCCAGGGGTAGGCAGGAAAGCCACATTTCTCCCAGATTTACGGCATTTACAATGGAATCAAGGCCGAAAGGTTGCGATATCCATAAACCGAGCCTAAGGGTTAACAACTCATGGCTTCTGGATCCTAAAACAAAACATCTCAGTTATGTATGCTTGTGTTGCCACGCAGGAGTAAGAATGATGATAAACGTGTGCAGTTAAAACGGCGACAGGGGTGTCGACAGAGAAGTCCATGATCCTTAGATATATGTAGTGAGCATCTAGTCTTAAAGAGGCAGAATACGATGTGAATGTAACATCTTGTACTACTGTCATACATATATTGCATTTACATGAATGACACTTGAGAAGTGCTTTTGTGTTATATCACCATTTAACAGTAACAGGATTTGAAAGATCGTCGTCGTCATCCATTTATGTGTCACATAGGGCTTGCAGCTGTTCTCTTTATTCCTTTCTATCCTGTAAAAATATCATGTATAGAATCGTCTTGTGCATATGGTCTTCTGTATCGCTGTTTATTGTAGGGTTTCTCTTGGGCGTCCTAGCTTCTTTAGGCTATTTATTGTTCTTTTCAGTGTATGTTTTAGGATTCTCTGTCTTATTAATCTCTTCTCACTCACTGGCAGTTATTTTTGGTTTTCAAAAAATGGATGCCAAGAACAAATCTTGAAGATGAATGATGATAAGAAAGTTCAAAAATAGTGAGCAGGCTTCCATACATGATATATACAAGATTGTACAGCATTAAGTAAAGTAGGGGTATACACTTTGAAGCTCATATGTTGTTGTATAAATGGCACAACAGATTGATGGTGAATAATTATATTGTTTCTGATAATTGTTTTCCCTACAGCTCTCTTGAGGTTTTCTCTCGCTTCCACCCTGTTCCATTCTCCAAGATGCTCACATTTTATCGCAAAGAGCCCTTCACTCTTGTAGCCTCGTACTCACCTGGCAGTGGTGTCCCATATCCAGATGCTGAAATAGGTAAGTCAATAGAAAAAGCAGAGAAAAAAATTATTGAGACCCTTTTAATGGCATAAATGCATATCTTCTTAGCATTCACCAGCTGTAAACTGCCACGAAAAGTTCTGGTTGTTATCCACTTCGGGAGTTTGATCTTGTTCCAGAGAAAGAGTTGCATGCACATTAGCTGTAAAGATCTGGTTTATTTATGTGCATGGCTGACGGTTCCCTGCCTCTCAGGCAGGTGCACTCTCTGACTTTAAAGGAAGGAAACACCCCTAATCAGTCACCTCATAGGATGTGATGCTTGGGAGGAGGAGCAGCACTGGATTCTATCGCCCACCCCCACCCCAAATTTGGGTCTCAGAACCCACAAGGGGACATTGAGCATATAATGCTAGACTATTTTTAATAGACCAGTTGGTGCTTGATGTAGGATGCTGTTTACATCATGCTGGCTGCCTTTTCTTCCAATGACATTTCCTTGTACAGGTGTTAGACTGGGGTGAACAATTAGCCAAGGTCTGTTAGAGAAAATCTAAGGCCTGTACCCGGGATGTGCAATCCCATCAAGGCACGTGTAGTGCTAGGGATGTCTCTGTAAGATACACAGACGGAGGTAAACAGAGAACCCTGGCTCTTGCTGTGCCTGAAAAGAAATATTCCAGTACTTTTTGTGCTCAGGTTTTCACTGGTGGCTTTGCTACAGATGCAGTCACAAATTGGGGTGGTCATGGAATATACAATAATTGCCACAGCAGCAGAGTTGAAAAGGCACTCTCTCCCAAGCAGGGGCATCTGTACAAACTACAGAACTGTTAGCAACTGTTCTCCTAACTACATTCCAGTACCTCGTAACTAAAGAATACAGAGGGCGCAGATCTGTTTTACTCGATGGCTCATTCTCTGGCAAAACAAGATTAGCTTGCTGCGGATCTGAAGACCAGCATTTGCTTGCTTTCCACTGAATCAGATCTGGTACCGCAGTGGATACTAGCTCACTGCGTTCGTTATTCCAGAAAATAAGAGAGCAGATGAGCTGGCAAGAGCTTCCACAACCTTATCAGCTAGAGAGCCAGAGAGAAACCAGAACAGCCCTAAAGCATTCCTTCAAGAGGGAATGGAGAAGGCAGAATGGAGAGTGACATCATAAACAAACTTTACAGGAAAAACACACATTTTCAGGTTTTGGACAGGACACTGCAGTCTTTGAGCACATCTACACTAGATAGGCATAAAAGAATCTACCTCTGGTGAATGTGGAGCAGACAGGCAGACCCCTGATCTTGTAATACAGGGTTATCGTAACTACAGTTAGAAATTTCCTAAGAGCTACATTACACGACAAGCTGTTGGGAGTGGGCGGTGACCTTAGACACACATTGTCCTGTTTATGACCTTGAGGGGAGTGAATGTTATGTTTAGCATGGCTCATGTGAAGTGTAGAAGAAGAGCTCAGAATTAGAACAAAAAACAAAAAAATGCATTTGCACTTGAGCATCTACATGCTACTGAGACCCTGAGTAGAGGCAGAGAATAGCGACCAGGGATGTTGTAAGGCGTTACTGAGGGTAGATTTGAGCTTGGGGTTGAGACTACCTTGTCTCCTATGTTGATTAAGCCTAAAATGGGTTGAAGATAATTTCCACTGAGTGCCAATAGGGTCTACAGAAATAAGTGTAGATGTTTATGCCTGATGCGCTATTTCTTCTTCTTCTTCAGCATTCCGAGCCCTTTAGGTTCATTGCTGCAGATATCACCCACCTCCATTCATCTCTCTGGTTGGCCTTCTCTTTCCAGTTGGTAACACCAAGTGTTTTCAGGTCTGATTGGATATTATCTCTCCATTGTCTTCTTGGTCTCACTCGTGGTCTGATGCGCTACTGGCATGTAGAATCTTTACTCCCTCTGAAGTGGTTTTAATTTCCATTGATTAACACTGCTTCCAAACATATTTATCCAAGGTAAATGTACAAATTCATATTTTGCCAGGTACTTTCAAAATAAACAAAGTGACACCTCAACCAAACGGCGAAAGCTCTAAAGTGAAGGTCAAAGTACGTTTGACCAGCAATGGCACCTTCATGGTGATCAGCGCCAGCATGTACGAGAAGCTGGAAGGTCTCATGCAGATGCACCAGGAAAGGGAACGCTCCTAATTAGTTACCTTTAGAAGGGTAAAAAGGCTCCAGTGAACCAAGAGGTGAGGAAAAGATGCTGGCGTTGGATAGGACACACACTGAGAAAACAGGAGAACAACATAACTAGAATGTCTTTGCACTGGAACCCACAGGGGCATAGGAATAAAGGAAGGCCACACAAAAAAAACACGGAGAAGAGAGCTGGAGAATGAAGTGAGAAAAATGGGGAGAGCTCCATGTAATGGCGAAGGATAGAATGACTTGGCGTGAGTTGGTTGAGGGCCTATGCTCCATTGGGGGATATAAAGGCAGAAGAAGAAGAAGGCTGCAGTGCACTGTATCTTTTTCCCCACCCAAAATGGTACTTTAAAAAAGGCTGTTTCTCAGGATGTCTTCATCTTTCGGAACACCTTTAGAATTCTGCACATTTGTTTTGTGATTAAATGCAAGAACAAAATGTTTCTTCTGGCTGGTGGTCTTCATAAGGTTTATATTAGAAGATCCAGAAAATCACTTATTTTTGGCTTAAGTCTTATTTAAGGGTACTGGGGTGAAGTATTTTCTTCCTAGGACATTACCATTTTAATCAGGGTTCACCTTAAAGCTGTGAATTTATAAAATCGGCCTTGATTTGTTTATTTTTTTTAATTTATTTTTTTTTAAATCCTAACGCTTAGGCTGGCATGTTTTATCATTAAAGTTGATTATATTGAATGTATTTGTTTTGGCCAGAATTCTGCTGAAATGGACCAGTCACCAACCAGTGAGCAGCAGAACGTGGAAGCCACAGCAGGACAGGCTCAAGATAAAATACCTGAGGGAAATGAAAAGGTATGGTCTAGAGATACTACTCTCTGTTGTTGTTCTTAGCTTTCACCTGCTGTAAACTGTTGCGTGCATAGATCTGGGTCATTTGTGTGCAGACTGTTGGTTCCTCACCTGTCAGGCAAATGCACTCAAACTTCAAGAGAAAACACCCCCAATCAGTCGACCTTCATAGCATGCACTTTAGGGAGGCACAATTCTGGGTGAAATATTTTCAGTGTTTTAAATCTGTCACAGTTCTGGGTGTAATGTCTTTATTGTTTTAAATCTGTCACAATTCTTTCTATATATATAATCTTTTCTACTTAGAAATCTAGCACAATTATGTCTGTATATGTGAAGTCTTCAAAACTGGAATTTTTTTCGTAGTTCTGTTTACATATTTAATGTTTTCTTGTTAAAAACCTCTTGCAATTCTATCTAGAAATATCTTTATTACAAAAAAATCTGTCACAATAATTGTATCTAGATATGTAATGTCTTCTTGTTGAAAAGCTGTTGTAATCTTGTTTAGATATAATATCTTCATAATTAAAAATTGCTTGCAGTTGTGTCTAGATATGTAATGATGTAATGTCTTCTAGGTGGAAATCTGTCACCATTCTGTCTAGAGTTGTGTTGTCTTCTAACTGGAAAACTCTCTTAATTCTGTCTACAAATGTAATATCTTAATTGTTTGAAGCATGTGACAGTTCTGTCTGGAAATATATCTTGTTGTTAGAAATCTCCCACCGTTTATAAAAATATGTAATATCTTCATTGTTTGAAATTTGTCAGGAAATTTCATGTGCATATTTAATGCCTTGATTATTTAAAATCCTTCAGAATGTCATGTATGAATGTATTTGTTTGAAAGATGCCACAATTCTGTCTGCCTGCTTAATATCTTCAGTGTGTGAAAGATGCCACAATTCTGTCTGCCTGTTTAATATCTTCAGTGTGTGAAAGATGCCACAATTCTGTCTGCCTGTTTAATATCTTCAGTGTTTGAAATGTGCCACAATTCTGTCTGCCTGTTTAATATCTTCAGTGTGAGAAAGATGCCACAATTCTGTCTGCCTGTTTAATATCTTCAGTGTTTGAAATGTGCCACAATTCTGTCTGCCTGTTTAATATCTTCAGTGTGTGAAAGATGCCACAATTCTGTCTGCCTGTTTAATATCTTCAGTGTGTGAAAGATGCCACAATTCTGTCTGCCTGTTTAATATCTTCAGTGTGTGAAAGATGCCATAATTCTGTCTGCCTGTTTAATACCTGCATTAACAGGAGCCAGCAGACAAGAAATCAGCCCCCAAAAAGAGCAAGAAGACTGTGAAAACCATTGACCTGCCCATTGATGTGAATGTTCAGCAGCTTTCTAAGGAACTGATTAATGCCTTCACAGAAAAGGAGGTAGGAACAAATGAATGAAACTCTTATTTCTCAAGAGTCAGTGTTGCAATTTGGGACTTCCAGACACTGATCTTTCACATATGTTGTATTTTTTTTTTAAATCTATAGAGCATGTAGAAAATACATAATCTGGGTATAATGTAAAAATACAAAAGCAGGGATAGCAAATACATATATTCAAAAACACATATGCATACACGCACTGCTGCTTATAAATAGCCATATACCCACGCATAAATACACACGTTCATGTTTCAGTTTCCGAGAAATCATGCTGCCTGCCAGTCATCCTTGAGGTTTAGATCATTTGGGATGTCGGTATTTCTTTTCTTTTTGGTCCATGGTATTTTGAGAATATTTCTCTAGCATTTCAGCTCAAAAACCTCTTTTTTCACCCTCCTATAATGGCTTGGAAATAGTCCACGACTCACATCCATATGTTACTACAGGGACGATGTTTGCAAGATTTTGATTTCCTTTCTGGTGCTTATAATGCTTTTTATTCTTTGCATTGCTGTAGACATCTTCCTTTTGACTTTATTTTAACCTGCTGCGTAATAGAATTATAATAGAATTAAAGATGAACTGTTCCTGCAGTTGGTAAATAACCTGATTTCTAGCCATAGGTGTTATGTGGGCATATGTTGCTAGATCCCAGTGTTTATAGTCTCAGTGGTATTCAATGGGTGATGTTGTCCGCATCACTGCCTTTACTTTCCATGGCATTGCACCCATGTTAGAATGGGTGGACTTCATGACCCTGCATCAGTTTGAAAAGATCCTTCATGATGCTGATATGAACCGTGGGCCTTTGGATCAGCCTGCAAGGGTTTGGCCGCTGCGGTACTACAGCTCCTTTTTCCTGCCGTACACACGAGATATTCACACATTGCTTAAGGGTGTATTGATATATTTATTGAAGAAGCACATAAAAGGCAGGCAGTGGCAATAATGATCCTGAAATCCGATGCTGTAATTGTGAAAGACATTCTTTACCTTATCACCAAAGGCTAAATCTAGTCGCTTTGGTCGTGACAACCCTGTAAGTCCCAAAATATCACTATTTCTTAACTGCCCTGTTTTCAGCAATTGTGGTTAAATGCTATTGGTGCACCTGCCTGATGTTTAGGGGCCTGGATGCGAATATATGAACTAAATATAGCATTTCCTTTTTAAGTCCAAAAGCTTTAGAGGTCATGGGTGGTCTTCCTGTAGCACAATATAACACTATCAAATGAAATGACAGTAAAGTGCTACAGTGTATGTATATTCATGTGTACATTTTGTCAACAGAACCAGATGGTGATGCAGGATAGGCTAGAGAAGGAGAGGGCTGATGCCAAGAATGCTGTCGAGGAGTATGTGTATGAAATGAGGGAGAAGCTGTGCGGGGTATATGAGGACTTTGTTCACGAAGATGTAAGTCTGCAAGATATTGTTGTGTGTTGTGTTCTTGGGGTGGCATCTCTGCATGAAGGCTGGCAGCGTTGGATCTCCATGCTTTTGTATGTAATCTTAGATGAACACTCGTGTGGACTCTGCATTTAGGGAAGCTTATGGCAGGGAACACCTATGATCTGCCCTGTCTTTCCTCGAGGGCCTACCAATCTAAACAGTTGCGCTGGATCAGCTGTTCTCATCCTATAGGTCATGACCCTTTTTTGGGTCGAGCGATAGTCGCCAAGGACCATCGGAAAACAAATATTCATTTAAATTATGAAGTGGCGACGAAAATAATTGTATGGATAGGGGTTGCCACAACATGAGGAACTGAATTAAAGGGTCGCCACAGCATGAGGAACTATATTAAATGATCGCCACAACACGAGGGACTGTATTATTTAAATAAGTTCACGTGGGGTCCAAAAATGTTGAAAATATTTATGCCTATCTGTTCTACAGAGCTAGCTTATTTGTGTATGGGCCTGGTTCCTCGCCTCCTCTCAGTTGCTCTCACACTATGAGGGTTTCAAAACCCTCTTGACAGTGTTGAGTTGGAGTAAAAACTGTTGGTGAATACCTGCTTGTATGCATCATATATCGGGGATTCCCAGGAACTTTTTTATGTTCTTTATCCCATCATTTGCATAATTGGCTCTTCTTTCGATATCCATTTTATTATCTAATTGATTTATGTTACCGTAATGTTATAATTTGCTTTGAAATAATTAATGCTGCGCTGATTTTCGTTTTGTTCTGCAAAATAATTTATCTAATACTCTTTTGTGATGACTCCCAACACAGGATCGTAACAAATTTACCGTGAAGCTGGAGGACACTGAAACCTGGCTGTATGAAGACGGAGAGAACCAGAACAAGCAGGTTTACATTGACAAACTGGCTGACTTAAAGGTAAGTTACTCTTCAGTTTTACGTCATAATCTCCCATAGAGCAATGTCTCCTGAACCAGCTGATCTTGGCTGTTTCTAAATATTTTAGTTTAGCCATTTTTTTAAGTGCCTGTATTTACCATTTTACGGTAGAGGGAGGGATTGTTTGAGCTTGGGGATTTGGGGCCTCATGACTAGTTAACATATAGTTAGTCATCGAGTGCTTGCTGTGGTACTAAGTTGTGGATTTCATTTGGAATTTTTTTCTATTGTTCCTGCGGCGTGTTGTTGACTGCGGGTGGCTGATTACATTTAGAATAGTGGGTGGATTATAGGCCGTTTGTGCCAACAGTGACCTGCATTTTTTTGTGTTGGACCACTTGTGTTGACACATCAGACAGCTGCCTTTTGCATTTTTGCTTTTCAAATGCAAGCTTCAAGATTTTTGCTGGGACTTAAAAAGGTTTTTCACAAGTTTTAAAATGAGACTGTGAAAGGCATTTCGTGTGATTACCACTGGCACAGAAAATAAAGGAGTTTAGAAAATGGTGGTAACCAGTCTGCAATGATGTCTTGGCTAACGACTACTTACATCACCAGGTTGACACCATCTGATCACAACTGTGACACTAGCAACACTAGTCAGCCATCTTTTCACACAGCATGTTAATATTTTACACTTGTACAAATATCAAACCAAACAAGAAGTTGAACTGGTTCACTCAACAACCACCTTAACACATTTGTGTTCTTTTTTTTTTTAAAACACCGAGCAGCCTCTTATCGTTAAGGCGACTGTTTATACTTGGTCTCTGTTTACAACAGGCAACCATCTTATCGGTCATTAGTAAAGGCAATAGGGGCTTTTCAGCTGAAATGCTAACGAAAGATTCCCAGAACACCAAGGACTAGGAAGAAAAAAATACTGATGTCCTAACAAATTTGAACATCAAGGAAGATTGGCTTGTGTCCGAAACTGAAATATTTTAGCTATATCAAGCACGTGGCAGATTGGAAAGAATAGTAGCAGAAGGCATTATGCCAGGAAAGAGGTGCAGGGGCTAATCAGCCTGAAAATAGGCTGGAGATCTGGCAGGAAACCAAGTTCTTTCAGGCAGGCTGTGATGAGAGCAAAGTTTTGCAAAGGGGACCTGCTACACGGTGATGAAGCATCTTATCATGAAGGTGTCTCTGTTTACAAACTATTTACACCAAGCAACTGTCAGAAAATCTATTGTGACTAGCAGCCAACTGATATGACGCTCTGCGACCGTCATCTAATGCCATTAATGGTTGTATTGATATCTGTCAGTAACTTATAAATTATGACTGAACACCAACCAACCAATCACAGTTGTAAATGATTGCAGAAACCAACCAGTCAGTGTCAGTTATGACTGTTTACATAGTCAGTACTAGTTGTGACTTATGTCAGCGAATCATTCACTGTCATTTGTGACCCATAGTTACATCAACCATCCAGTCAGCATCGGTTGTGACTATATCTGTCAACCAGTCGATATCAAATTTGACTCTAACCAGGAAGGCTAACCTGGTCAACAAATGCCAGCAGAAGTCGGATGTATTAGCCAAAAGGTGCAAATATCGCAGCCAGGCTGTAAATGGACACCGCACAATTACATCTTCGAATGAATGCAGAAGAAGAAGAAATGTGACTCTTCTGTTCTGTTAATTCAGCCAACCTTTCACTGTCAAGTATGTCTCTATTTGCAGCAAATTGGGCAGCCAATAGTGGACCGGTACAGAGAAGCACAAGAGTGGCCAGTCGCCAGGGATGAAATGGGCTCGACAATACAGCATATACGAAAATTCTTGGACCAGTGGAATCTGAAGGTGATTTGTTGTCTGCATATTTGTGTGTTTCAGATTTCTTGTCTGCCAAATCATGTCTCAGATTTCTTGTTTGTCAGATTATTTGTCTGCCAGATTGTGTATCTCTCAGATTTCTAGTCAGTCTGATTGTTCATCTCTCAGATTTCTTGTCTGCCAAATTGTTTGTCTTTTAGATTTCATACCTGCAAAAGGTTCTTTATTAGGCACTTAGTTGTGGTGGGTATCGGTACATTTTGTGTGTGTGCGTGTAGAAAAGGCCCTTGAAATAAATAACGACCCTATGTTTTTTTATTGACCAGTATTTATTTGGTACCTGTGTTTAGGCGGAGTCTGCTTGGGAGCCCAGGTAATTTTTTAAGATTTTCAAATTGATGAGAGAGTTGAGCCATGACCACACAGTGGTAGACAAGAGTTCTAGTGTAGTCACTGTGCTGTTATGGATACCGGGCTCTGTGCCTGTTGTTTTCCTCTTCATGTGGGTTTCGGGGCCCCATTGTGGGGAAAACAAGAATAGACCCACTGCCTGCCCAAAAAACATGTCGTAACAGTCGACTGATTAAGAGTTTCTTCGAAGTCAGAGGACATCTGCCTGAGAGGCAAGGAACCAACAGCTTGCATGCAGATGAGTCGCACCTGAGAAGCAGATGTGCACGCAACACTCAGTTTCTGGAACAAGACTAGAGTATAGAAGTGGACGAACAACCAGAACTTTCTGTCGGAGTGCCAGAGAACGTGAAAATAAAGAAGAATTGTGTTCCAGTCTTGTAAAATGTTTACCACAGATAGCTGTATGAAAGGAAGGCATGGAGAAACGTATCTTGTCACCTGACCTCATATCATGACCTTTTATTTATATTTATGCTTCAAACTTTTGAAATGGGTGCTACACACTTCTATATGAAGGGTAGCAAAGATGAATGTGGCTGGTCAGTTCACCTTATATCATGAAACCTTGTTTCATTCTCTGGTGTTTATAATGTGCTCCATCCAGCCTTAATTACCAAGGATAGCTGTAAAAAGGGTATGTGATTGTCCATTACAGTCTGGAACTGTGATTATCTGTAATTGTGATGTCTGTGATTTTGTCTGCAGGATGAGAAATACGAACACATAGAGAAGTCAGAGGTAGACAAAGTTGAGAAAATTCTCACTGAAAAATCCAACTGGTTTGGCTCTCGGATGACACAGATGGCTCATCTGAAACGTCACGAAAACCCAATTGTTTTGGCATCACAAGTGCGAGCAGAAAAGCAGGTAAGCATTGATGAGAACTGAATGTAAGTGAGCCTAGATAAAAAATTGATTTTAGTTCAATATAGCTGATCATTCTTGAATATAGGTGACCCTAATGATTGGTTGTGCTTGCAGAGTCGTACTTATAGTTTGCTGTACTTGGATAAAGTCGGTCGTACTTGGATATAGTCGGTCGTACTTGGATATAGTTGGTTGCACTTGGATATAGTTGGTTGCATTTGGATATAGTTGGTTGCACTTGGATATAGTTGGTTGCACTTGGATATAGTTGGCCTAGTATAGGAATATGAATTTTCCCTGTGTCATCGTGTGGATGGAGTCTTCAAACATTTTTCAGTCGCTAAAAAAGATCAAACTTTTGAACTAGATGTTACAGAAAGGTTCTTACAATCTTATTGGCCACCATCAATAACAAAACCGCAGACTTTCTCTTCACGACCTGAGTAATGAAGAGGGCTTGCTAATAAACAGTATTGTTTCTCCTAAACTGGAATGCATTGGCCATGTTATATGCAATAATAGTACAGAGGTCATCTGGTCATCCTAGTTTCAGCTTCATAGCAAACGGGTCACCCCACATATTGGTGGTTATGGTTCCTGAAGGAAGAGGCCAGACCACATATATTAGCTCTTTCTGTCCCAGACGGTGCACTTCAAGATGCTGGGTATTATTAACTCACTTGTACCAGTCAACATGTCAAGTTTTTACCTCCTACATTTAGTGAGGGACTCTGAAGAAATCTGAAAACACTTTTTCCCCCTGCAAGTGCTGTATATTTGGCGCCTCTGGGAGTATTGCCACTCTCAACTCCCTCGGACATTAACTAAGACTTTGTGGGACTTGATGAGTTTAAGACACTGGTTATAAAAGGTAATAAAGCAGGACGGTTGGGATGGAACCTATGGCTTTCTGGCATGAGAGCAAAATTATTCAGCGGACCTCCCTGATGATGATTAATTTTGTAAAACATATGCAGACCACTCACATATTGGCTACTTTCTGAGCTACAGGCCTTGGAAAAACACAGCTGAGTTGTAACCCCGTTTACTCCCATCCATAGATCCTGTAAAGCGTTCACAGCCTAATCTTAAAACTTGTTGGTTCACATCTACTGGTGTAGGAAAATTCAAAGAACTGAATCTTAAGCTTGTAAATATTTGCAGTTTTTTCATCCCCTGATCTTGGAAAACATGCAGTCCAGTCATAAACCTGTACTTATTTGCTATTTTTCCCATCCCCAGATCTTGTAGGATAACCCAGTCATAAACTTATTTGTTCCTGTCTCCAGATCTCGTAGGATATGTTAACCCAGTCATAAACTTATTTGTTCCCATCCCCAGATCTCGTAGGATGTGCTAACCCAATCATAAAATTATTCGTTCCCATCCCCAAATCTCGTAGGAAGTGATAATCCAATCATAAACTTGTTTCCATTCCCAGATCTCGTAGTATGTGATAACCCAATTATAAACTTGTTTCCATTCCCAGATCTCATAGGATGTGATAACCCAATCATAAACTCATTTGTTCCCATCCCCAGATCTTGGAAAACGTATGCAACCCAATCATAAACAAATCTAAACCCAGAGTTGAGCCACCCAAAGAGGAGAAGAAGTCCACAGACAAGTCTGGCGAGAACACCCCAGCCGACAAAAACAACAGTGAACAGGGAAACACCACGGGTCAGTCAACGACAGATGGGCCTAGCAAACCAGAACAGATGGATGTTGATTGATGCTGCGTCTGCTAATGTTCCGTTGACTTTAAATAATATTTGTATACAATTTTGGATTTTTTTTAAAACCATTGAATTGCTATTGTTCTATTGTTGCTGCATTGGTTTTTTTTTTTTAAGCGTTGGTTGCTTGCAAACAATTATTGTAAGCCATGTTTATAAGTTGTTCGATAATGTTGTCTGAATGGTTCATTTTCATTGGTAAGTATACATGTTTACTCAGATTTAAGACAAACAGTAGAAATAGATTTATTAGGTTTTCATAAGCTTTTGTGCACTCAAAATAATGTGGTGTGTGTCGATACTAAATAAATCTTCCTTGTACAAAATAATTGGAAAAAACCAACTCAGGTGTAAAATGCATCTTTTTTTTTTTTTTACCGTTTAAACAAAATTAGATCTTTTATTTAAATGGTAAAGCTGAATATATATATATATATTTTTTTTTTTTTTTTTATTTTTTTTGGGCATTAATCTGTGGTGTAGAGCTAATGAACAGTTTCACAATTCTGATATCATGACTAGAAGTTAGCAGCTGCAGGTGATTTGATAGCAGGCCACTTAACACTGATTGTGCCAACATTTGGATATGTCTTGCTGTTAGAAAAGCTGTGGAAAACTAGTGTGCAAAAAAAATTGCCAAGGAAAACCACAAGATCGGCATTAAATGCTAGGATTGGTTCGTGAAATGGCACGGCGTGCAGATAACTTTTAAAACACAAAATGACCCACTGCTCCCAGCAAGCATGTCATAAAATCTACTAACTAGGGGTGTTTCTTTCTAAGTAGGAGTGAATTTGCCTGAGAGATGAGAAACCAACAGTCTGCATACAAATAAGCTTGATCTGTAAAATGGATGGGCATGCAAAACTAAAGTTCTGGAATGAGACTCAAGTCTAAAAGTGGACAAACAGCCAGCAATTTCTGCTGGAGAATTACAGCTTGTGGACCCCTAAAAAGAAAAATGTCTTGTGTGCTGATTTCAAATTAAAAAAAACTGCATATCCTTTACAGGACATTGCAGATTCAACCCCAGCATTTGTTGTCTCTTGGGTTTTACTAAGCAGTTTTATTTTCAGTAGTTTGCCACTGCTTCCTCATTGGTAGCTCTCAATACTATTGTCAAAATCAACACAGATAGGTCTGCTGCAAATTTGTCCGTAGCTGGAATAGAACTTAGCATTGCGAAATTATGAAACATGTTCACAAAGCCGAAGACTCAAACTAACATATGTAGATAGATTTTAAATCTTAATGATGTGGTAGACAAAAGTATATGTTTTTTAATTAGTACTAAACAGAAAGCAAAATACATTTTTCTTCTGTAGTATTTTAGTACCTAATTGCTCCTTCATTTAACATAGATGGAGCAACATAGATCTTTTTGTCGTCATTGGGTATGAATGTTTGTTGTATTCAACCAAAATTTATCTTAAATTTGCGTTTTCCAGCAAAATTGATATTTTTTGTTTGTGTTGTTTTAATACAAAAAGGCTATTTTGTGTGTGGATACAAAACAAAAAAGAAAATCTATTGTGTACTGATAATAAACTGCTTAATGTTTAAAAAAAATGAATGTGAAAGCAGAAATTTAAAAAAAACAGATGGCCTAATTTACTGCCTGGTACATTGTTCTAATTCTTGTCGCATGCATACAGTACAAAACAGGATGCGGCAAAATTAGATGAGCCGGACCACAGTGCATTCTTGGCGATATTTTTCTTCCAGCACATTCTCTCTGGGTCTGCCTCTCCTCCCCTCCAGCTGTCATGTACTCTAATTGTCTCATAATCACATGACCAAAGGATATAGATTGTTTCCGATATTGGCAAGCTTCGTAAGTCAGCAAAATCTTCTTTGGTTTCTTTGAATCTAGACAGATTATATCTGATACAAAATAGATATTTATCTGTATAGATAGATAATGCAAGCTCTGTCTGTTCTCTGTTGATATCGGATAATCTGTTGTGTTTTGACTGACCAGGGGGACAGAGACCATTGTTGTCATATTACACAGATGTCTGTGTCCTGTATTATTACAAAATAAATCATTTTGTTGTGTGTTAATATTAAGAAGGCATTATGTTTTTATTTTACTTTCAGAATTTTTGTTCTCTTTAGCACTCTCCAGCTGTAAACTCCACTAGACAGTTCCTGGTTGTTTGACTTCTAGACTTTGTTCTTGCTTCAGAACCTGAGTTTTGCGTGCACTTCCATTTTACATATCTGGCTTAGTACTGGGCAGACTGTCAGTTCCTTGATGCACCCAGACTTTAAGGGAAATGCTCCTAATTAGTCACCTCTTTTGGAATGCTTTTTTTTTTTAGAGGGCAGTGGGGTCCTGACCACCCCACCCCAACAGGGCCCCAGAAACCACACAGGGAATTTTAAGAATTTAAAAGTAGCATTGGGACCTGAAGTCACAATGCCTGAATTGGCATATGATTTACTATTTTTTAGGCAGGCCTTAGATTTGGCTCTACAGCAGAGCTTTTTATGGTTAACCAGAGGTTTAACTAACCCCCTGTAAGAGATAATGACACACAGATAAGTTGTAATGAAATGTTTCAGAACAAAAGCGACCTCATGAAAACCATTAATTAACATTTATCAGTCAGCAGGTTCTTAACAGAACAGTGCTGTCGTCACGTCACAGAATGCCTAAAAATCTCTGTCTTAGGCCAGTTCTCCAGACCTGTGTAATTTCATAACCAGTGCATCTTGAATGTGTCTTGTGTCCACCTTCACGGAGGTCGGCCTCTACCTCTTTTTTCCTCAAACTGCCCACCGGCATCATTTTTTAATTGAAAATATATATTTCCGGGATTATTGTGATAGTTAATTTTGTGTGGCCCACCTTCCCACTGCAACCAGCACCCTAATGTGTTGCAGCACAGTTTGGAAGGCTGTTTTCTACAATACTGCACAATTGCATGCTGGAAAATATATATGCTCAGAGCTGATATCATTGGTGCTATACAGACTAGTAGAGTAAAGAACCCTTTCCCAACGCCTTAGGCTTATTGGATATATAGTGCTAGATCTATGTTTTCAGAGCAGTCGGCCCTCTGTTGGGTGATGTGTTCAACATCACGCAGGTCGCCTTTGCTTCCTAGATAGCTTTTTAAGGCTGGGAGCTCTATGGGCATGTCTGGTGGTTAATGAGGCATCTCTGATACTAACACTAATTCACAACAGAAAGAAGGCCATGTAATTTTTCTCTAGCAATTTTTGTAGATTGGGACGAAAAAGACTTTGTCTTGG